TAGAGAACATACTCAGGGGTAACTCTGAGAGGTGTTTGATGCAAAGGAATCAACAAAGATCAGGTTAAAAAGAAGCAGTAGAGAAGAAAGAGAACAGGCTTGGTGGAGAAATCAGGATGAATAAGTTTGTCATGTAAGTTGAAGTTATTTGGAAACATGACTAAAAAGTGATGAGATTTTTGTGGCTGTTATTATTAATTTATAAAATTCTTTACCAAAAGCTGAGGCATAACAGGAAAAGACACCTTATGGAGTCTTGAAATTTCTTCATTTCTTCTGTGAAGAAAGACCATCACCGCAAACTATAAGAGAAGACTTTCATTTATGGCTAATTGCATGAATCAGTTACATAAACACTGGCTAAGCAGAATTGTTTCTAAGTAAAACTTATATGAGGCAATTGTTAAGCCTTCTTTGTCAATTTGATTGGATTCTGCTTGATTTTCAATTATTCCTGATTTTCAGATATTTTGGTTTATGCCAGTATAATTCAAATATTATTTATGTGGCAAGAATTCTGTGTTGCAACTACACATGTGAATTTACATATACAAAGAAAAATATTTCGGGTATGTTTACTCATAAGCTTAGTAGTTTGGGGTGAATTATTTGAATTTATAATTTTAAATATTTTTTAGAACTCAAAACTATATGATATGAAAAATCTTTGTATTAAGTCTGATGGACACTTTAACATGTTATAAAACAAAAACAAGAATGATTTTTTACTGAACTTGTAAATCAATCTTTTGTTAAGCTTAATTATTACGGTTGTATATTTTCCTGCTATGTAACTCAAAAACTATATTCATATTAAATGCATAAATGTTCATTAATTCCCTAAATTCTTTATTAGACATAAGTATTCCCTTTCTCTTATAGATTGATAGAATAAAAGCAATAATTTTGAAAGGAAACCTATGTTTAAAAGATTTGGTTTTAGAATCACTTATAATTTCAGTACTTGAGGTACTGAGTGATTTTTAAAGCGGCACAAGAATACATACACAAAGTTATTTCACAAATTCTCCCTAGCCTCTCTTGAAAAGGGTACGGTATTTCTTTATTTTCTTTTCATTTGATGTGAGATTGGTGGATTGCATTGTTTCAGGCAGATTGCATTTGTAAAGTACTCTGGCTTCTTTTGATATGAAAGAGTACATATTTCTTTTTAGCATCACCAAGTCATTTGTTTCATATTCATCCTGGCAAGTAATTAGAAAAAATACTTTTTGTAAGCTAAAACTCCCTCTCTGTTTTAGACTTTGCTTTCACTCTCTCATTGTTTCTCATTGTGTGCCGTCTTTGAGTGCTGCATCTTTTGAATTCTGGGCATTTTTTCAGGTTCACGATGTAGGAGTAATCCAAGTTTTTAGAATTTTAAACAGTTGAAGTATGTTAAAATTTTTAAGAGTTGTAGTCATTATTATATTATGGTTTATATTCTTACAATAGAAGAAAATCTATTTCATTTTTCAAAGTGAATTTTGAAATTTATTTTGATGGTTTAAATCTTTTCAAATCGCATGATTCCAACTTAAGATAACTATTTTAGATTTTGTCAGTGAATTATTTTCCAAATGGCAATATGTGAATACAATTTAATATTGATGTTCATTCTGAGCAATAAATGAACTACACAATATAATACTTCACAGTTTATATATATTTTATTTCAACTTCGAAGCAATGCTTCATTAGCAAAACAGAATTTCTTCCATTTTATGTAGTTTTAAGATACCTGCTTTCGTGTAAAACAGTATAGGACTGTTGGCATAAACACACAGAGCCAAGACTATTTCAATAGTTTCACAAATAATGTCCTATTACAATCTATCTATTTCTCTTTCCTCTAGTTAACTTCTTCTTCCACTACCTCTGAGCAGCTTGCCTGTAAACCACCTGCTTTCTCCTTTGTTTCTCCAACTAATCAAACAACGCCACCTGACCCAGTCAACCTCGGCGGAGCCTCTGTCCTAGAGCAGTTCCACAGTAGGCAGCTGGATGTCAGTGGGGCCTTGGTGGAAGAGACAGCTACGTATTTTCAAACTTCTGCTCACTCTTCACCCCTTTCTACATCGAAGGGCAACTTCTCGACGGTTCAGTTTCCCCATTCCACTCAGTTATCGGGTTCTAATTTATCCAGTCCCAGCGCAACAGATCAAAAACCTGGACCGACATCTGAAGTTCCGAGGAAAACGACAATGTTGACCTCGCATGCCCTTAGCCCCAGAGAAAGCCCGAGAACCTCTTCTTCACCACTCTCTGATGCCTCTGTGAAGTCGAATCCAGCCTCGTACATACCAGTCCGTATTGTCATGTATTCACTCTCTCCAAGTCCAAAACCATTTACTTCCTCTTTCCACGGCTCTTCTTCCACTATCTGTAGCCAAGTGTCATCTAGTGGAAATCTCTCAAAGTCAGGGGTGAAATCCCCGGTGCCTTCCCGACTTTCCCTTCTCACTGCTATCCTCAAGTCAGACCCTTCTCACCAGAGACCTTTTTCCCCTGCATCCTGTCCCACTTTCTCTCTTAATTCCCTGGCTTCTTCCACATTCACACTTGATCAAAAAGTAAAGCAAACCCCACCCACCCCTAAAAAGTCTCTCTCAAGTTGCTCACTGAGAGCTGGGTCTCCAGAGCAAAGGGAATACCAGGTCTCTGACCTTAGCCAGCAACGCTTTCACTTACCTTTTTTCACCGAATCTGCTCCCTTTTCTCAGGCACTCTCCCCTTCTCCCACAAAACATGTTAATAGCAGCCTTGTTTCTTTGAATGTGGAGAAAACACCATCGCCTACTTTGAAGACCGACCCAATGCTCTCCTCACTACAAACAAAAACATTGAGTCCCGTAGGTCTTCCTCCTGTTCCACCAAGCTTTTCTCCTTTGTCTTGGAAGGGCAAAAGGGATACTGACCTCAGGGGTCCAGAAAAGCCCAGGAATATTTACACATATCCTTCTACAGTAGCCTCCTCTACATTATCTTCTGTATTTCCCACTAACCAAAGAGCTACACTCTCTGCTCCAGAGAAATGTTTCCATCCTTCCCCAGCTCTTTCAAATCTGATGAACAGATCCCAGAAAGCAACACCACAGCTATCTGGCCAGGAGCAGAAACCTTCAGTTCCTCCTTCACCTCCCATCTCTCTTCCCAAATTGGGGTCACCTCCTCTCCCTCATGCTAATCTTCCCACTCAGGCGTTCCAGCTCAGTCCCTCAGCACTACACCCAAATTGTGGCAATGGTATCTTGCCTTCAAGACGTGGGAAATCTGAAAGCTCAATATCTGACCACATGTCATCTGTTTCAACTCCATCACCTCCCATCTCTCTAACAAGAACGAAGGAGCCGATTTCACCTTGTGCACTGTCCATGTCAACAGGCCCTCAAAATAAGAAACCCAAGGTATTTTTTGCATGTTGTATGGCGCATGCTTTTTTTTTTTTTGAATATGTAAGAATATTTTTTCCAAGGAATAAAATAAATAATTATGACATTCATTCTGCTCCTACAAGGAAGTAGAGAAAGTGCAAGGGTCGGGGGCCTAGGTTTTGGTATATTTGAACGTGTAGATGAATTATAATCTGTCTAAAATTGTGCATGTTTCTGTAAAACTCTTTGATTTTGCAAATTCTCTTCTATGGTAGCTTTTTATATTTATAGCATCAGGCATAATATGAGTTATATCATTGATCCCAAGATGGAATTTAAAGCAGCTAGTTGAGATTTGGGAATATATACATTTCTAATTATTTAACAATGTGGACCATATTATCCATCAATATATCCGGTACAGAAAGAAGATAAGACAGGATTAATGTGAAATAGTATATTATCTTACATCTAGTCCCATGTTCTTGCCAAGCCAATTTGAAAACTTTCTATTTCCTTTGCCATCATTCATTTATAATGATCAATTTTCTTCCCTTCTACCATGTTGATTTCTTTATTACTCCCCATACCTCAAGCTAAATCAATATGGATTTACTTATATACATATAGGATAAAAGGGGATAGAAATTTCCTTTTTGTGTGAAATTTATTGGATTTATAATAAACACTGAAAACAGTAATTATGAAATACTGAAAGAATAGACAGGCTAGATTAAGGAAATAGAATTAAGAGAGGAGAGATATTGGCTTTTAAGTGCTCTGAAGCAACCCACTGAGCAAAGATGTAAAATTGGCATTTACTTTAATATGAGAAGGGAAACATTTGAAGGAATGACCCATAGAGTTCATTTCTTCCAGTGGGAGGCAACTCTGCTCTAGAACATGCCAACTTCCCAACTACTCTCAAATAATTTAGAATGTGCACCTTATACACCCAGAATTTAGTTACTGTTCTATAAATAAAATAAAATTGTGAAAGTGTCTGTATTAGGAAAGAATTGGGATATTCAGTTTGGTACAATGAAATAACGCACTTTTAGAGTTTCTGAATTCCACGGAGATTGTGTTCAATTGTGTCACTGTTTGAATGATGAACTTAAGATATGAAAGATAAACCAACCCACATGTTTGTGACTGATGTTGCAATATAATTCAGTTAGAAAGCATGCATTAGGCACCTACTATATGCCTACCACTATACTACCTTTTTTTTCGAGATGTGTTTTTGTGCATGTGTGTAAGGAAAGTAAAAAAGAATTTTTTGCCTTAAAAAAATTGTATTCGGAAGGAAAAAAAATAGATATGTATAATGTGGAGAAGCTATATAGAATTATTAAATCTATAATAAAGCTAAAAAATAAATATAAGGAAATATTAACAGTATAATACAGATTATACATAATTATTCACTAAATTTGATATAATAGAAATATTATTGAGATATGGTTAGTGAGGGTAGTTATTATAAATGTCAGTCCTGTAGGAAATATTTAGGATTTATCTTAATGAAGAGAGAAGGAGTTGGTATTTCAGAAATGGTAAACGACCAAATATATAGAAGATGATTCCAGGGGAATATATGTGTAGACATAAGAAAATTGGCCTAACATTGAATAGTGATGATAGTAATGATAATTATAGTAACATACCAAATATTTTCTGTAAGTCAAGAGATATCCTAGTAGTAATGCAAAATAGTTAATAATTAATTGAGTCTACATCAGTTAATTTTTATGACCATATGAGGTTAGCAATATTATTTTCTCCATTTTATACACCAAGAAACTGAAGTTCAGTGAATAACTTGCCCAGGTCATATACCTTGTAATGGCAGAGTCGATATATATATTTTAAGTCTACTGATTCTTGGGGCCATATTCTTTATTACTATGCTTTATTACTACAGAATAAAAGCTCATGTTAATTATTATTTTAGCCTTTTTAAAGAATTCTCATGAAGGAAATCATCATTATTATGGAATAATTTATATTATATTTGGGTCATTTAAAAATATATTTTTAGAGATTATTAAGTCCTTGTATTTTAACCTTTCAAAGCAAATGGGATGGAGAAAACCTAACTTTTTCTATAATTTTAAATTAGAAAATCTTATTTATTTGAGGTAAAATGACCTGATGATTATCATTTCAACATATATGTGTGATTGTGGAATTCATTTGTGGTGTATTAAAAAACTCCGGTGTTCTAAACATTACAATTCCTTGAATTTATTAACAATTATTTCTTAAACCATACTGCCATACACTAAAAATTATTAATTACCTTTGTGAAAAGCGATGTTACCCCAGAGGCTACTTCAAAGAGTTTCTGTTTGTGGTTCACGTTGCTTTATTCATGTTTGGTGATGTTTTAGAGTTGGAAAACTAAATAGGGTTGGCTCAGTGGGGCTTTGGATAAAGTCAAGTCCTTTTTTGTCCCAAAATCGAGTTTGTTGAAGACATGTTCACTTATTGCTCCCAATATTGAAGATTTGTCAGCACTTGATTTATATTTTGTTTTATTTTCTTTATTTCATAGTTAAAATTCAAGCTTACACAAATGCATAAATTTGATGTACATAAAATATGAAAATACAAAGAATGGTCAAAATTTATCTATATTTATCTGTTGCTTTGAACAGAAAAAATTTCTTATAATGGGTAAAATTTTTGATAACTTCTGCAAAAATATTTTCTCTCTGAGCCATTTCTTTCTTGCTTCTTGTTATTATCTTTCCAGTAAAAATCAGCATACATATACAATTTTTTATTGCAAACTCTTATTTGCAGAAATTGTAACTTGAGTATAAAACATTCATTAAAATGGATGCTGGAATAGGTAAATCTTGTCCAAGTTTCTTTTGATGTTTGACTAGTGTTCTTTAAATTGCTAAGATTATTTCATAGATTGATAGGGGGAAATAGACAAAAGCTTTCTGATATCAAAGAATTTATATGCTTTTTTGGCTGTGTCTTGTCTTGCTTCTTCCACTGTGGTGCTAATCTAAGTACAGGGCTATCTTTGAAGTCAAAAAGCTTCAGATTGAGATCAGTTTCACTCAGTGCCAGATGCCAAAAGGAAAGAGGTCCTGGAATACAAACAGCCATCAAATTAAATTATGAATGCTTGAAGGATGTCAGTTCAAAGTCTGGGCCCTCCTGGCCTTTGATATTAAAATAAAATGGAACAGCTAGAGTATGCTGAGCTAAATTCAGGTATAAGGCATGTTTAATGTTTCTTTTTCATAGATCAGATCTTAAGGTCCTAAATCCGTTTGCATTAGCTTGATATAGTTTAATTTCAGATAGAGTTAAAAAATAGTATTTCACATTCTAATCCTGACACTACACAGGATGGACATCCCCCAGAATGTTGTTCAGGTTACTCTCTGATCAACACCTACGTTGTCTTGAGAAAGCCTGAATATCACAAAATTAATCCATGCAGTTGTACTTGGATTCCAATGTTTTGCACTCATTTATGAAATACTTTAAATTTTCTCCTAGTGACTTATCATGGTATTTCATATGGGGATTTGGGGTGGCCATTATATCAAAACTTCAAACATTTTGCCACTCACTAAAGATGGTCTGAAGCTCTTTTCTAACTATAAGGGCTTCAGTGGCATGCTCTGGCCTTAAAGTTATGTGTATACATAGAGTGTTTAAGAAGCTAGTTGGTAGCTTTTTGATATTTTATGAACTTTTACAGCCAGTGTTTTATTTATACTCTCATTCCTTTAAGACATCCAAACATTTCCAAACACATCACACTGGAAACTTGATGGCAATGATCTCTATGTAACCTTCTCTATTTCTGCTGATCCATATGTAATTTGGGAAATGAGCAATATTGAATGTACCTTGGTGAGCTAAAATAGTTAATCTAGATTTGAACAAATTATTTATTCATTCAGTATGTATTGAGTGCGTATTATGTACAAGGCACTTTTCAAAGTTGTAAGGATATTGCAACAAGTAAAACTGAAAAGGAGCCACTCATAGAAAGTTTGTATTCTAAGACAGAAGAGAAACAATCAGCAATAGCTGCCTCCCGCCCCAAATAAGTAAAATTTTCTCATGTGTTAGAAAGTCATATGTGGTATAGATAAACGTATGGCAGGGTAAGGAATGGTGTCACAAATTTACACTGGGCTGTTAAGATAGGTTTCTTTTTTAAGAGAGTGTAGTCAGGAAAAATTCATGAGGCCAGAGAATGCTTGGCAAGTACAAAAACAGATAGGGAAGCCAGCATAGCAAGAGTGGAGTGAGTGAGGGGAAGTTGAGCTTGTCAGAGGGAGATGTAACTGGAAGCTGAGTCCTATGGGTTCTTGTAGGCCCTTTTAAGTCTTTGATTTTTAATTTGAGTAAGACAGGAAGCCATTGGAGGGTTTCGAATAGATAATCTTATCTATCTGGCTGCTTGCTGTGTTAAGAAGACTCTGAGAGGGTGAGGGGGGGAAGTAAGAACAATTTAGGAGGCTATTGCAACAATCTAGGCAAGTGGTGATGGCTCTGGTGATGTTATAGCAGTGAAAACAAAGATAGGATTTCTGTATATATTTTGTAGGTAACAAACATCCAATAATCATTAAAGCCAGCCGTGTGTAAAATGGTAAAACAGCTGAAACTAGCCATGTGTATCTTTCTGTTTCCTTTTTGTCTTTTTATCCCACTGTCTTGAACTCTATGTCCTCCACAGAGTTCTTGGTGTGTTTCTGGGGATTCCGAACTTTCCTTGATTCTCCCATCCCTGCTATCTGTCACTTCCATCTCTGTACTAACCAATGCTGTGTCCCATTCTCTTCGCTTCTGTCCAACTAGCCTTTCTGAATTGATCTTAGCAATGATTTACACTCAAATGTTGGTGATTGACCAAAGCATCTTTTTTACCCCTTGGGGAGTATTTTCATTTTAGTCGAGAGAGGCTTGTGCAGTTTAACTCAAATAAAAGACTACTAAAAAGATAAAAACAGGAATTCAAGGTCATGAGTTCAAATCTCGAAAGTTCACATCATTGAAGGAAGATGACTTTATAGACTTAACATATTGAGAATGCCTTCAGGGCATGTGTCGAATGGGGAATGGCTTCTCAAATCAGTCAGGCTTGTCTAAGTCTTGAACAGTAGATGGAGAACTAAAATGATTTTTTATGTCCTCTGAACCTTGTTGTAATGTTTAATTAAATACTTCATTTTAAGTCAAAAAATATTTGCTGAACATCTATTCTTTGCCAGATTGGTATTAGACGTTGGAAATAATATAAAATCTAATAGGGATGGCAAAATATTGTAATACAATGAAATAAATGCCCTATGTTTAGAATGCTAGAAACACAAAAAGATAAATCAGCCATTGGAAAAGGTCCTGGGAAAAAAGTCAAGAAATTTTCTTAGTAGCTACTGCTATATTCATCTTTGCCAGGCTATGGTCTGTAGCCATTTTTTATATCCTTCCCTCCTCCCACCATTTCAATTATCAGGATAGTTACAGAGATTGTGCTCTGCCAATAATCCAGGTGTCTGGGTAATTTCTTTTTGTGAATTGGATCAGAACTGGAGTTGAACTTCATCTCAGGGAGATTCTGACTCAGGCAATGCAGGCATGGTCACTGAGAAGCAGTAAGTGTATGTTTAGGCTAATGCCCTCATCTTGGCTCATGGATGCTTCTGGAAGGAGAAGCTGGCTATGGTGCTAGGGAGGCTCTTTGTCAGTGTTCTCTCTTCTTGTTGTTTATGTAAGCTGATGTTCTGCCATTCATTTGTACTTAAAGTATAACCATGACTTCCAATCCCTGATTCTCAAGGCAAATAATATAGTTCACTTTGAGATCTTATGGGTCTTTATTACTACAGCCTGTGGTAGAATTTTAGACATCAGCGATAAGGGATAGGATAGTAGTGGGAAATATTTTTCTGAAGGAGAAGGATGTGTTCTTTCTATCCCCACCTTCACATCCAGGATTTATGTTGCAATATCTAGCATTGCCTATAAATAGGATTACCTTTGATAAATTTATGTATTAAAATGCCATTTCTCTTTCTAAACCAAAACTTTGCCCTGCATCTGTCATGTAGTGGATATTTAAGACATTTATTGAATGTTGACTGGAAGCATTGGAGAGATACAATAAGTATCATTCAATTTTTTTGTGAGATTTAGGGTCAGGCTGGTCAGTTCTACCTTCTATTATTAGCCAATGGCGATTACAGCCTGTAATCCTAAAGTCTATTATTCAATTTATAATTACTTTGACTAGATTGACTAGTAATTTATAATTACTTTGACTAGATTTGTAATTTTAAACAAAGGAAAGAAAACCAATGAATTTGTTTTTATACCTGGAAGCTTTGGAATATTGAAGAAAAAAATATGCTCCAAATTAGAATATTGTTAAGAGAACCTAGAGGAAATATAGTGAACCCGAAATGTATCTCTTATGGTAACAAAAATGATTTTCAGACTGAAAAGAAAAGGCTATATTTGTCTTAGAGAAGCGTAAAGCTTAAAATAGAGGAGGAATTAGAGAGATTACCAAGTCGCTCTAAGAAAGTTTATATCTCCTGGTCTACATAAATTGTATCTCAAACAGATAACATTTCTACTTCTAGTACAAAATTATTGTAAATGATGGGAAATAAGAGATTACCAGAAAAAGAGAAGCAAGTCATATATTTCATTTTTTTTTTTAAAGTGGAAGGTAAATTCTGAAAATTATGGCTTATATTCTTAGTTTATGAATGTTTACAAAAACAATTATAACTGGAAGTCAGACTTTTCTTCAAGCAACAGATGTTTATTGAATGCCTGGCAATTTCTAGCTTTTGTGATATCTCTCATGATATCATGAACCAGGAGAGAAACGTGAAGTGTACTGATGAGTTTCTGTGAATTTGCATTTGTTCCAAGTGCCCCATCCAAAGCATTCTCAAGGTCACTCTATCCCATCACCTTATTTCAATTTTCTATATATTATTTGTCTCTTTATGACTTTTCTTTTACTTTCTTATTTGTTTATAGTTTGTCTTCGTTCATTAGGACATAAGCATTAGAGAGTAAAGGCTTTGTACGTTTTGTTCACTGCTGAATCTCCAATACTTAGAGCAATGCATGTCACAAAGTCAATACTGAATAATATTTTGCTGAATGAATTCATTAGTGGAACTGCTATATCCAAGTAGATTTACAGGATGAATTGATGTCCACCTGGATGGCAGAACCCAGTAGACAAGAGCTCCCTATGCCTGGTATAACTTGAATGAAGATAAAAATGACATACCTAACAAAATGGTTCATGAAATAATATAAACATTCCTATCTTCATAGTTTACACTGACAAGCCAAATCTCGTCAGATGAAATTAGATAAAAATATGCCTAAAGTACTATTTTGGGATATAGAGGGGAAAAAAGCATAATTATAGGATGGAGTTTAATTTCAAATGTTTTTTAAAAATCAAAGTATTAGGGATTTTAGGTGATAGCATATTCAGTGTGACCCAACAATATGAAATAACTCTAACTTCACTCTCTTGTATATTCTAACCTCACCACAAAAACCAGAGATGATTCCAATTATTATCATCTTCATTGCATTAATTAGCTTTATGTTAATATCATGGAGGTGACGATTATATCCTACTTTGTGTTAAAAATCTATCTAATTAAACACAATCTTTTTTTAATTTAAAGGAATATTGACAAAGAGAAATGATGAGGATAGTGAAATCATTTGAGGAACTATAAGGATGGGTTGGTGGAAAAAGCACTACAAGTATCATGAAGAAGAGAGCTCTTGACATGCATCATGATTCCAAAGGGATCAAAAAAGGACCAATGGAGTAAGTTAGCAGGGAGCATACTTTGGCTCAGTAGAAGAAAGAATTTTATACCAATTCAAACATAAACCTAAATGTGCTTCCTTAGGAGGTAGGCCAGTGTTTATGTGGTGGCTGAACAGAGGATCAGAAAGATTCATGTCTTGGATGAGGGTGTTAAACCAGAAGGGCTTCAATATCACTTCTGATTCTAAGATCCTATGGCATGATGGGTGCAATGACAAGATATCTCTCTGTACAAGCTTCTCCAACTATAATCTTTAGGGCAGTTGAAGATAGAACAAGCATTATAAATGATTACGCATCCCAGAATGAGAGGCAAGGACAATAGGTTTGTTGTGATAATTAAATGAAGTAATACACATAAAGCTTTTAGAATGGTACCTGACTCATAGTGATTGTTAGCTATTGTTATTTTTGCAACTATTATTACAATTAAATATCCATAAAATCATTATGGAGTTTTAATGATATATTTTATTCTGTATTATTTTTCTGTTTAGATATTCTTTGGGAGAAAATGTTATCTTATAGAGAAAGTATGGATGCTGGGTCCAGGCAAGCGTGGGTGCCAAACTTGTTTGTACTATTTATAGGCTGTGTAGTCTTAGACAATGCTATACGTAACTTCACCAGATCCCTTGTTCTTAAAGACTCTTTAGTTATAGAGCTTCTGTAAAATCAAATGAGACAATGTATATAATTCGACTAGTAATAAATGTCAACTCTTATTCTCCTTGAGGAGGTGGTATTTCATTTTCTGACTTTACCCAAACACATTGTTGTCTGAAGCCCATAGCAGTACAAAATCGATATCTTGAAGGAACCTGAGACTTTCTTCTTCCAAGTCTGGCATTTTGATTTTTTCTCTACTTCAGCTTCTTCCTATGGAAAATGAATGTGTTAGCCTCTTACCTTCCACACACCAGTAACTGTAATGAAAGTTCCTTCAATTATATCCATACAACTCAAGGTTTTGTCTGATTTTTTGATTATCCTGGCTTCTTCTGTAGGCTCTTTGGTCTGCTTTCTGGGACTGAGACAGCTTGGGGTTGTGTGCCAATTTCCTCCTGACTCTGAGCCCTTGGGGCAGCTGCCTAGGACAGGGGCTTCTGAAGTGATAGGAGCCTTGACTTAGTTAAGCGGCTTGGGACCTAGAACAATATCAAAACCGGGCTTTTAACTATGTATATTATACTAATTTCTACAACTTCCTCATGTTCAACTCTCTCCTCCAGATACTATACAAGACTAAACTACATTACTCTGAGTTTTCCTTAAAACATAGGCCATTTTATCATTTAATTTATTAACATTATTATGTTAGTACAAGAGATGATAAGGTTTATAATTTAAGATTAAGAGCTTTCTGTTTTTTTCTATTTCGGAGTTAAATTGATGAAATTACTTCCTTTCAAAATATGCTGCATATTAAAATGCTACTAAATTTTGTGTTTTCTGATCTTTGTTTTTATGAATGATGTAAGAGAATGTATCAAGAGTTCAATATAACTTACTGGCATAATATTTTTAATTATGGCAGTATAAAAAAGAATCACTTTTCTTTGAGAATCAAGTAACTTCCCCCCACCCCCACAGTTCTAGAATAGTATACCTATGAGAGAATGCTGCTATTGAGAAATTTATAAATAATTGTCTAAAAATTGATATTTTTAAGTTCTGAAACTATATGTCATAGAATCACCTATAATTCCTAGGCTGACATTTTACTGTGATATTCCTTTGCTTCTAATTCTAATAAAATATTAACATGGTGAGCTAATTTTTTCTGTCCAAAACAAGTTGTTCAAGCATAATAACTGTTTTCTTCATTTGATAACTTGTCATTTAACCTGGTAGAACTAGTCTAAAATTATGTCATATTCTTTCCCCTTTTCATCTCCACTCTTGCTTTCTGGTTATCTATTCTAGCAATACAAGACCAAGTCAAGCTACAAGGCTTTTGCAGCAATCCCTACAAACACATTGCTTTTGGAACAGAAGGTCAGTGTTGACTCAAAAGGAGAGTGAATTTTATGATTGTAATGTCATTTTTGTTATGTTTTCTAAAATTTCTGCTTTAAAGTTCTGCCTTTACTAAAATGAAATGCTGTGATGAAAGCATCTTAGTGAATAGAATTGAAGACATCATTAATTTATCACTAAAGGCTAGATATGAACTTAGAACTGTCCAGTCTGAAGTCAAGTAGCCCTGGGAAACTTATTCAGATTTGGATAGATCCCTGTCCTTTTGGATTTTAAATGGCTATTATATTCAAGAGTTTCCACCTCTCTTCACATTGATTAAAAGCGTAGAGGTAAAATGGGGTTATATGGTAACCGGCTACCTTGGTCAAGACTTGGTGATTCATAGTGACTTCCACAAGGTAAAAACATGTTAGCTGTGTGTCTAATTTAGTCCCTAGATCCCATTATGGGCTAAACCTCTTTATCTATTCTACCCTGCCACTGATCCTACCTGCATGAATGGAAGGGAGGATTGAGATCACTTCCAGTGACCTAGGTGCTTTTACATGGCTGCAGGGCATTATTGCTTTGCTATTAAGAGTCCTTAATTATAAAATTACAGGATTCTGTGTCAGTAGATAAATTAAATTTAAATTAAATTAAAGCCCATTGTTCAACGAGCACATTAGAGATGCTCAAATGAATGTCAAATGGAGGATCATATCAGAATCGAAGTGAAAGCAAGTACTGTCTATGAAATTATTCATTTCATATGCTATTTTTATGATATTTATTTAGACAATTTATTTCTTAGTGCATTAAGCTCTTTTCTTTTCCTCTATAATCTGTATTTCAAATAGTGTTATTATCATTTGTCAAATGTTAATGTTTGTCAACCAGATGGTATTGTGACCACTGGTTTATGAACCTACCTACATTCTTATTTTAGCATGATCTGGGGAATAAAACCTTTGTGTGATTTCTTATCTAAAAAGTAGAAATTGATAGTGGGAAAAATTAAGTAACATATCGGTGAACATTATTGGGCAGTGTTTCTTTTCTATCTCTGATAATTAATTCCAAATTATCCACATGTAGTCCATAATCTATACTCTATATATCTGAGTGCCTTGAACTGGGGTGGGTGAGGGTGTCACTGGCCTGCAGGAGGTCTGCAACTTTTCTCTAGCTTCTCCTCTGAATTTCTACTTTTTATAGCTCATTAAAAAATAAGATAAGCCTAAAACACTTATTTCAAGAGGCTTCAGGAGAATGCAGGAAGTGACACTTTTACCAGTTGCCCCTTATTTTAATTGCCTATGATTATGTTGAGTCATAGTAGCAGTGTCCCCTCACCACAGACCCTCTTCCCATTCCAGATGGACATTTCCGAAATCTGGTCACAAAGGTCTATCTCCCACAGCAATGAGAGAAACTCTTGCCCCTCAGCAGCCAGGCAAAGAGGAGAATAGGAGCCTGTCATGTCATAGTGTCCTTCCATCATACTTATCTCGCTCAACCTAGCATATTCTTTTATTCCTTTGTGGTACCACATATTAGTTTTCTGTTTAGAAAAATAACAGTTAATTCTTCTTGAAAGACTTTTGTAAAATATAGCTGGATGTCATTATTGGTTCCAGAATCTCTGTCTACCAGCTCTCTTCTAATTGAATGAATTTTAGAGATTATAATCTATTAGTCATTAAAAATGGAGAATAATTAGCTTGCCTTTCAATTTTATTACAAACCCATTTTATAAATGTGTATGGTAGTATCACTATATATTTAACCTAATACAAGTTCATGTGGAAAAGATTTTATGTTTTTAATTTTGAATAAAACATACTTTTTAGGAAAATTATTTTTATTTTTAGTACAATAAAATGTAAACATCATGATGCCTAATTTAAAATAATGTTATTATAGGGAGGATCGATTATTTCATAGACACTAATGTGAGTAATTGTCTCTTGGCTACGATAAATTGTTTTGGAACCATAAATATTTGAATTGTTCAAAGGTCACAATATATTACATAATATTTGTTTTTGCTCTAGAGCTTTTGTATAATTTCACATATTTTTGTTAGCTTTCCCATGTTATGTGTTCCTCAATGAGAAACTACTTTGTAAGACTTTTTAAATAACAAAAGTTTTGTCCCAAGATTTTATGAGCAATTATTTCCATTTTCACTAACACTTTTGAATGATATTATACTGCCCCTTTCATGGTTGTAGTTTTTACAAAATAAATCTGGTAATTTAGACCTTTTTACCCACTTGTTTATATAATAGAACTCATTGTATGCTGTTGAAATCATAAGAACTTATTTCTGAGTTAAGCAGGAAAATTAAGACTACAATTATCAGAAACATCTATTTGGGGAAGAATTAACATTTTAGAATACTTTAGATTACAGGAATTTTTATTAGATCCCTTTAATATCACACAGAACACCACGATTAAGGGTAGGATGATGCTGTAGTCTCATTACAATGATCTGTTAGGGTCTATGCTGTAGAATGCCTTGAAGATAGAACTAACACATTTAATTCAAGTCTTAGACATCAACAATTAATTCTCTCCTCTAGTCAGATTAAACTCATGGTTGACATTTTCTACAACGTTCCGTTCTATAGCATATAGTATAATTAGCGAGGAACCAGACTCACTTAAAAAATAATACTATTTGTAAAAGCAAAATTTTCTCCAAATTGAAATACAGACATCCCTTGCAATGAGACATTAAGCTATCATTGAATCACTGGATTGGTTTCAGCTTTAATCACCCCTAGATGAAGCACATAATTTTCAAAAGAGTATATTCGTTGAGATTTCTGGTACTTCTGTTCTATAATTTATTTTCTTCATCAAACTTAAATTTATAACTTATTCAGTATTCTATCACCTTTTTTACTTATGCATTTAAAAGGGAAGGATTTTTAGCTTAAGTCTTAACTAAGGCTTTACAGGAAGAGATCATATTTTAACATGTTTGCTTCAGGTTCTTTGGCTTAATCTCCTGTCAATAATCATCTTCTCCAAGATTGAGATGGGGATGAAACACAAGCGATTATAAAGCAGAAACAAAGTAATCAGATTAACTTGCTTTGTGACTGTCCACAGACCTTATTGCAATATGCTCAAGAAAATAATTTTACTTTGGACATTATTTTTTATCCACTGTGTGTACTGCTGTCCTTTTCAGAGAATGTTAAAGGTGTCTCTCTTATTGACTAATCTTTCTTATCATATGAGTCTGATAGCAATAGATAAAAAGTTAAGATTAAACTAAAGGATACATATTAATATTCTAAATAAATGGATTATTATTTTTATTTGTGTACCTGTATTATGGAAAGGATAGATAAAAGAAGGATATTTCCATGAAATTATATAACATGTATTTTTATTGTCTCACAGTTGATTAATATTTTTCCATGAAAGTATAAATTTTTGTCTTGAAAGTAATTTGCATAACCTGTTCTCTTCCTCACAAGTTTTCCTTGGGATAAAATCAAGGCTGGGATTAGTACTGTTTTCCAATAAATAGCATTACTATCTAACAAATGCATTTTCAAAATACATTTAGTTCGTAAGCTATGTGTGTTTAAAAGAAAAAAAAATTTAGAGGAGCTTAATTTTATAAATAGCATATACAAAATACAGGATTAATTATTTAAATAAAAGTTATGAGGTAAAAATTATTTGCTTTCTGGTGGAAGGATGATAAAGAACAGTCATTTTGAAGACTGTGCTATAAAAATAGAAATGTAAAGATTTGAGATATCTTGTCAGCTGTCAAATCAATTTATTCTAAGTTGCCAGTTTGATTTTTTAAGACATGAGTTGGTAAACTCCAATCTGATTTAACATATGTCTTTGGCTGAGACTATTTTAAGATCTCTGCATGTCTCAAAAATTTAACAAAATCTGGTTGCTAACTTAGCATATGGCCTATACTAGAGAGACATCTCTTAAATTAGGTTAGTATAAATAGTGAGTGTTCCCAATTTCTTTAGCAATGGAGAAGTGCCAAGACCCAAATCTATACTAATTGCTTCTCCCTAGGCAATTGTCTACTATGTACATAACTCTTTTAAAAGATTTACTAAACCATATTTAATTATGCATATTGTTTTTTTCTTTATCACAAACTATTTGAAAGGATATAGTAGGTTTTTGCTAAAAGTTTATTGAATGAATTAATTTAGTTTGCACCTAGGTAGGTCTCTAAAATTTATAATTTTATTCCACAGGATTTTAAGACAAATTTTTGCTCACAGGATTATAAAAATAAAGGGGTCTAATGTATGACAACTGGGATGATGATATGAGTCTGATAGCAATAGATAAAAAGTTAATAGGATGATGCTGTAGTCTCATTACAATGATCTGTTAGGGTCTATGCTGTAGAATGACTTGAAGATAGAACTAACACATTTAATTCAAGTCTTAGACATCAACAATTAATTCTCTCCTCTAGTCAGATTAAACTCATGGTTGACATTTTCTTCAACATTCCGTTTTATAGCATATAGATTAAACCTCATCAATTCTGCTTCCATGAAAAAATATAAAGGCCTTCTGCCGTTAGGGAAGTAAGTTGGTTTTAGACTTGGCACCTCTTGACAATTAGAGAATATGGTCACAATGGCTGCCAAATTGAATGCTAGATTGTATCAGACACTGAGTTTAATGCTATACTATCTTCACAACTTTGTGAAGATTTTGATGATCAAAGATGCCAAGTAGACACCACAAAGCATTAGTAAGCTGCTGAATTGGACCTCAAATGACATCTGATTATCCCCTAGCCTTTCCCTGCTCACCATGCAATGGTGACATCAACTAGCCAGAGAGAAATATTGAATAAGAGATAATGATTTTGAATCCCTGTTTACAACATATTTAAAATATATTTAAATTCTCATTAAATTGGAGCAACAAAATTTTTTTTTTTTTATGAAGAACGATTAAAAGGAAATTGGAAATGACTTAGCTCTGAGAAGACTTTAGTGGATGAGGAATAACAAAGCAATCCAATTCGTTGAGCTACTAAATGAGATGAGGTGAATTACAGTAGAAGAGGTGCTGGCTAGAAATAAGAAACATCCGTCTGATATCCCTGATTAAATAAAGAAAAAGTATGGATTTTTCCTGCCATTGAGTCTTGGTGAATGGGTTTGAAACTGGCTATAATAGTTTGCAAAAACTCCCTTACTTCTGTGTGAGAGGAAGACATTTAACCCTGCAAAGATCTTGGGATTAAAAACACAAAGTAGATTTCCTCAATGCTTAAAACTTTTAAACCATCATATAAAAAAAAACTTATGATAAATATTCCTAGGTCTTTAAAGAAGCTGTACTTTTATATACCTGGAAGCCCGTTTGGCTTCAGTGTATATTTCCATTCTTTTTCCAGATCCGAATGCTATTCAGACTTGAATCTCCAACTACATAAAGTGAGATTTAATTTGCCAAGAATATCTTCAATCCTACAAGTGGTTTTGTGTTAATGACTATATGCCAAAGTTTTTTAGTTCTCAGAGGATTTATTCTACACAATAGCTGCTCAGATTAACAAAGTATAGGAGCATTTTGGTTTAGCATAAATCATTTTAAGGGGGTTAATTAGATCCTTACTAAAATACTCACCCAGGAATTTTTTGAAATCTAATCCAATTAGATAGCCTAGGCTTCACAAAAAAAGTTTACAGGCCCCTTTAGATTATTCTTCTAAGTTTCTAACTATTTAGAGTGCAACTAATGCTTCAGCTTTTTAGAACTTAATCCTATTTCCACAGAGAGTTGGTTATACTAATTCAACATATTTGACTAAAAATTGTTTGCAATTCCATCAGAGGTGCTCCTTTTGGTGGGAGAACCACCTATTATAGTTTAGTGGTATGTATTCCCATAAGGACTTTGATTTATAATGCTTGCTCATAGTTCTTATAATGTGCTGAACTCAAAAACTATTTTCTTTTAAAAATCAAGTTTACTACATCCCTTTTTAAAAACTGGGCCCCAAAGTTAATTGTTCCAAGTAAAATATCATGACTCTCAAATAAAATGTTTCTGATAACTTATGTTAGGTAAGAATCTTTGAAAATAGAATTCAAAGCCTGTCCCATTTATGTCTCACTTGGCTATAGTCCAATTTGGTAGAAAATATATGTTTTTAATAAAAATCTTTTATTGAAGAATATTCTGAGAGCACTTCACTCAAAATGAATAAATATAAATATCAGTACAACCATACTGGTTAAATTGTGAAAAGCAATCAACCTTCAGATTTCCTGTTAATAGTGATTTAATATATTTTCTTTTGATACACTTTTGTACTACAGAGGAAAAAAACTACTTTTGTGACTGCTAGGAGGAGTGGATCAAGAAAATATGTTTGATAAATAACTTCTTATCAATAAAAAAGCAGTTTTAGTAAATTTCAAGGCTATTTAAACTTGAAATAATCCTCATTCCAAATTTTAGTGCGGTCTGAGTATTGTTCCCATTTTAAAGTTACCAGTTAATATCAATTACCTTCCTTAATTTTCCAAGGCTTCTGAGTGAATAGTTTTTTCATTCTTTAAATAATTTTCAGTATTTTTAATAGCACAATGAAAGTTGTACTTGCCTATAAGTTCCCACAGAGTAACTAGGATATTAACCTTATTTGGTTTGGGCTGAAAAACTGATTAAAAATTAAATAGAAAAAGTGAGACAAAAGTAAAACAAATATATTTTTAAAAATTAAATAATTATAGTAAAAGAAATTAATTAATTTCTCAAATGAAAAGACAAAGTTATTAGACCAGATTAAAAATGAATCCCAAACATTTGCTTTTTTCAAACAACTGATTTTTAATATTTGGTTACAGAAAGTTGAAAATAAAGAGGCAAAAAGTGATATATGAAACGGTTATATCTGACAAAGTAGATATTAAGATACAAAGCGCTATTAGAGATGTAGAGGGTCACCTCATAATGATAAATATTTAATGCATGAAGAAAGTATACTTCTAATTATGAATGTAGTTAATAAAATGGCTTCAAACCATGTTGAACAAAAATTGCTAAGATCAGAAAGATAAATTAACGGACTCACTACTATTCTATAAGATTTTATAATTCCACTTTTAATTATTCTTAGAATAAGAATGCAAAAGAAAACAGTAAAAGTAGAGATGATTTGAGAAAAACAATGGATAATCTTGATGTAATCACACACACACATGCACACACACACACACATATACACATGCACACCTGCAGCTAACAATTAGAGAACAGATATTTTTTAAGTCTAAATGGAATATTTACAAAAAATTGATTATGTCTTGTTCTATAAATCTTGAACTACGTAAGAAATAAAAAGTATGTTTCATTTTGAAAATAAATATCACTTGAGGTTCAGTCTGAAGAATAAGGTAGCCAAGACTTTTTGAATATAAATAATTAAAAATGAGGCCACATTTTCTTTTGCATGTGCATATTTCTTATAAATTGACTCTGAAGCATTTCCTCAAGAATAGTTTTTGTAAAATTTTTAGAAATGACTACATCATTGTTATTTCTGTGTGTGGCTTCTCACATTGACTTCTTTGAAGGGAACAAGGCTCATCTGGATATATAAGATGTCCAAATTCTACTTTGTATGTTTAAAACTCAGGTTCCTTTCTTTATTTCAGCATCTTATAATAGAGGTGTTGACTCCACAAGGAAAAGTAGACAAATGGGGAAAATGCCTAACTCTCAGAGAATAGCTCATGAAATTCTTCTTCTTTTTTTTTTTAAATATTGAGATATACAGGGCTTTCTTTGAAGAGACTTTTATATTACATTTATATTTAACTAAAACCTCACATGAGAACTATTTCATTTATCACTAGGCACTAGATGAACCAGCCAAGACTGAAAGTGTCTCCAAGGACAACACATTAGGCCCACCTCTGGAGGTAATGACTTTATATTACCCTACTTTTGAAATGCAATCCCGAAACTTGTTGCTAACCCAGTACCTGGTTTCAATTCTTTCAGTTTTGTTTCCCTGCACAGCTCAGGCAGCAAACTGAAGAGCTCTGTGCTACCATTGATAAGGTCTTACAGGATTCCTTGTCTATGGTAATGCCTTAGACTAGAATGTGCAATTCAAACATTTGCTTTGCTTCTCTTCATTTCTCTCTACTTGAGTATTAGGCTTCACAGCCTTGTCCTTTTTTTCGTTATTTTCCAGCATTCTTCTGATTCTCCTTCAAGCTCCCTACAGACATTGTTGAGTTCTGACACCGTCAAAGTATGTATATATTTAATATAATTTATTGAACCATAAGAGTTATTAGAGCAATGATTTTTAAGCTACAGGTCATAGTCCTGTAGTGAGTTGGGAAATTAATTTAGAGGATAGCAACCAGCATTTTTTTTTAAATTAGCAGATAGCATTTTAAAAATTGAATAGTGAGAATGTAAAGCATCAGACTATTTCAAGTAGTGTAGGTACTATTGACATTTGTTTTCATTTGTTTACATATATACAGGTAAGTGTGTACAGGGTTGCAAAGTAAATGTATTTCTAACTGTGAACCAAGTTCAAAACACTTTGAAAGCCAACATATTAAACTACATTATATGTTGGCATTTTCAGAAGCTATATAGAACTGCATGTAGAATTTGTGTCCTATTGTCATCTCAAACCATGGCTTCACTACTTACATAATTCACAGCCACTTAGAACTGTAGAAGTGGAACATGATGTAAAATAAAGTTACATTAGGCTGAAAACTTTAACATGGGTATTACTTCTAGAGTTTTTTTTCTTTTTCTTTTTGTTGATAGAATCTATTTCATTGTTCTTTGACTCCGAGGGACAGAAACCTGAATATTTTAGATTGTTAGAGTACTATTAGAGCATTAAATGTAGTATTTAAATATGTAAATATTTCCTTTCTATAATGTAACAATTTTCATGTGTTGGGATAAAATGCTATCTTTCTTTAAATTATTTTTATATATACTTAATACAGATCTACTCATTAAAATTTCAAAATGGTTGAGGTTTTTCCTTTATTGATGATTGTTAGGTTCTTCCTTTATTGATGATTGTTAGGTTACTTTCTCTCTTGGAATTAGTATAAATGCTTTTTTCAGGTTCTTTTTGAAAATTAGACACTGTATTTATAAAGTAGGTGTTAAATATATAGATTGTTTATTATTAGAAAAGTAATCCTAATTTTCAATTGGAATGTTATAGACAAATATCCATTAATAATGACACAGAAACCCAGAAATTGTCAATATTAAAAATATATGAATATTAGCAGAGAGGACCTACAAATGAATAATTGTAGTTTCTGTTTTTATCTATTTTATTTTATATTCTTTGTCTTTCAATCTAAAGATATAAAACTTTGTTTGCTTTGCCAAAGAAATACTATATAAATTTTATTTCTTATTTTATTTATTGAACATATTACAAATATCCTGTTATAGTAAATATAGTAGGAATAAGACTTAAATAGTAATATATGAATAAACATCTTTTGTATTGATTCATTTAACAAATATTTAATGCTTATAGTGTTTAAAAAACATTATTCTAGGCCACCAATTTTAAGACAATTATTTCATTCAACAAATATTTATTAAGTGCCTACTGTGAGCCTGACACTGTGAAACACTGGGGAGATAATGGTGAACAAGGCAGAGTAACCTAAGGGATATACTTTGGCTGTAGTAATCAGAAAGTAGAATTCAAGCTGAGACCAAAGTTGGAAAGAAGCCAACCACAAATTAGGGAGAATAGCTGTCAGGCAGAGGAGCAGGCACGTACAAATTTCCTGAAGCAGGAAAGAGCTTAGTGTGTATAAAGATGAAGGCCAGTGTGGCTATAGCATAGTGAGCCAGGAGTGAACTGTGTAAAATGAGGTTGAGAAGGTGAGCTAGGGACAGTGAAGACACTTACATACTATGACATGAAGTTTGGATTCCAAGGAAAATAGGAAGACATAAAAATATAGGGGGAATAATATGAAACTATGAAAAAAATCACAATAGATGTTGTGAGGAAGCTACTGAGTTCAGTGAGACAGTCAGTGAAGTTGGCCTGGATAGGTTCGGAGCTAGAGAGAAATATTTGGATTTGAGACAAAGATGTCAGGCTTGCTGTGGGTTTGGATGTGAGTAGGTGAAGGAAAGAAGAGTCATGAATGAGTTCCAGGTCTCTGCCTTGAGCATAGATGACTGTGGAGGGGGCACAGTGTGGTAGAGGAAAGATGGTTATGTTCATTTTGGACAAGATAAGTTTGAGGTATATATCAAAGAAGGCTTAAACCTTGTGTTTGGAGCCAGTAGGAGAGATCTGAGGATGACTAGCACGTGAATGTTGTAGGTGCCCTGTATAGGGCTCTAAGGAACAAAACATTGCAGGTTTAATAAAAGAGGTGGAGGGGGAGCCTGCAAAGAAGGAAAAATCCATTGTAGTAAGAGGAAATCACAGTAGTATGATATCATAGAAGCTACAAGAGGAGAGTATTAAGGAGAATATAAATGGGGTGATTGCTACCAAGAGGAGCAGAAAGATAAGGCTAGAGAAGTGTTTATTAGATTTGACTTGTATATTTTGAAACTATATTACTAATGCTTATGTGTCTGTCATTCACGCTCATCTGTTTGATTTTTATAACCTTTGCTAGCATATATAACCTTTTTGAACTTAAGGTTGTGTTTTTAGTCTAGTATGAAAACATTGACCTTATATAGGTAATATATATATATTTTAAAGCATGTTTTGTAATTTTTTTACTTTATTTTTACATTACTTTTTTTTTACTAATTTCTATTACTTAATTTCTTTTTTCTTTTTGAACTATCTTATCTAATTTTCTCCAGGACAACATATTTCTGGATATCATTGTTATATTTAATCTTATATTCTCTTTATATGGGGTCTTAAGCCATTTATAATTATTATAATTATTATAATTGTTATATTAGTCCTAATTTCTGCTGTCTTATTTTATATTTCCTACTTAAAATATCTTCTTTCTGCCTTTCCTGCTTTCCTTTGAATGTTTTCACATTTACTGATTGGAAATTTTTGAAACTTTTGCTTTATATATATTTTTAGTTTTGTAGTTACACATAAATTATTAAAGGCAATAATTATGTTTACTTCTCACTCAATTTTAAAATCTTTTTTAAAAGATTGCAAAATCTTTTTCCAAAAATTAGATAAATACTATAGCACTTTTCACTTTTCACATGTTTTTAATTGAGATTCATAGAGACATAATTTGTTAATATTTTTTGAACTTTTATATATGAATTTTTATGGTTATATTTTTTAAATCTCTTTTTTATTTAGATACTTATTCTTTATTTAGATCTTTATTTGTCATAATTGATGATTTTCTCCTGGATTCATTTTTTTCTTGTTGGAATCTTGCAAATTGTATTCAACCAGGTCTGTTTGTATTGATTCTGTGGCCTATGTCCCTGAAAATATCTTTATTTTGCCCTTTCATTTAAATTATAGTTTTGCTGGACATAAAATTATAGCTTCCTTCAACGTTTTTTCCTCCTGGGTTTTTTTTTCTTCAACAATATATTTATGAAATATTTTGTCAGCATAATATTTATTCCTCTGCTATATAGTGATCATTTACAGAGTGGTATTGTAATCTTTTAGTAGTTTACCTTTATCTATGATGTTAATGATTTTTCCTGTAATGTGTCTAGGTATACATTTTTTTCTCTTTGACCTTTCATCTGAAGTCTTCAATTTTCTTCCATATACATTCAGGCTAATTTTTAGTGATTTTTTTTTTTCAAATATGTCTTTCCTGCTTAGACTCCTATAATACTGATTATGTCACTTTTTTGCCTCTGTATTCCATATCTCTTAATCTTTATATCTTTTTTTCTAATTCCTAATTCCTTTAAGAGGATTCCTTGATCTGATATTCCAGTTTAAGAATTTGTTCAGTGCCTATTCTGTTCTTTAGCGCCTATGTAAAGTTCTTTATTGTAGCTTATATAGTTCTTTTTAAAAAGTCAGCTTTATTGAAGTATAATTTGCTCACTGTAAAATTCACTCTTCTAGTGTACAGTTTTATGAGTTTTGACAAAGCATACAGTTGTGTAACCACCACCATATCCAAGATACAGTACACTTTCATCAAATGAAAAAAGTTTCCTTGTGCTTCTTTGTAATATATCCCTCTCTCCAACCCAAGTGCAGAGCAACCACTGATCTTTTCTTTGTCCCTATATTTTTCTGTTTTCAAAAATTTCATATAAATAGGATCATACAGTATGTAGTCTTTTGAGTTTATCTTTTTATACTTAGTAGAAAGCAACTGAGATTCATTCATATTTTTGCATTACCAATAGTTCATTTATTTTTATTGCTGAATAGTATTTCATTATATGGTTGTACCAGATGCAAACTATTCATCAGTTGATGGATACCTGGGTTATTTCTATTATTTCTAAATTGGGATTTTTACTAATAGAGCAGCTGAAAACAATTGCAAATAAGTCTTTGTGTAATCATATGCTTTCGTTTCTCTTGGATAAATACCTATGAATGAAATGGCTAAACTATTCTTTTCTTTTATAGTATTTACATTTTTTCAGACGTCCTATTATTTTTCCATGGAAATGCAAAGTTCTGTGGACATATCAGCTAGCTTGGCTATCTGTATACCTCCTGACTGGGGTGGCAGGTACTAAAGCCTGGTTTTTAGGATCTGTCATTCTGTTATTTTGTTTTGTTTTGTTATTCATTTTTAGGAGGAGGAGCATATATCTCAGAATATAGAAATTCCATAATATCAAACATTTTTCACTTCTTCCCCACCCCAGTGACATTGTCCCTCACATTTGCTTGCACCCCTCTTATGGCACTCCATTCTCCACTTTTCCAATAGCTGTCCCAGTTGTCATCAGTGTGGAAAGGATCAGAAAAGGGACTCATCAGAAGCTGGTCTGTCGGAAGCCAGCCGACGAAGTAATTGAGGGTACCTGAAAGGGGGAGCATGGACTGAGGAAAAGAAAGAAGACAGACAGAATTGCAGGAGGGATCACAGAATCAAGCTGTGTCTGTGTCCCCGAGTTTATTTAGAACACACTATTTATAACATTACAATAAGAAAGACAGTAGTCAAGAACCAAGGTTAGCCAGATTACTATATCTAGTAGAACAATGAGATTCTTACAACTCAGAACTCTCTGCTAAACTGTAGCAAGGAATTTGCAGTGATTGCTATGTGAACATTTACCTCCCGGTTTTTCCCA